TAACACACTGATGACACAGATATTGGCCATTAAAAAACAGAGACTTGTGAATAACGATGATAAATACGTTAAAAAAATTAGAGGAAAATGGAGGAAATGGATGAAAAGATGAATAATGTAAACATAAAAATAGAATATCTACAGAACTAATTGTACATTCCTGATATGAAAACATACAACGTAGAACTGAAACGTTCAGTGAATGGAATTAACAGTAGACTCGATTTGGAGAAGAAATAAAAAATGTATAAGAAGATAAGGCAGTGGAGATTTTCTAAATATGAGGATTAGAGAAAAAGTGGGGAAATAAATCAGTTTTTTAAGGGCATTGGGACATATTAATTGGTCCAACAGTCATGTTATTAGAGTTCCAGAAGTGGAAGAGAGAATAGGGCAGAAGAAATATTAGAAGAAAAAATCCATAAGAATATCCAAAAATTGGGCCTCCCTGGTGGCGCAGTGGTTGAGCGCTGGGTTGCGAAGCTGCCCGCGGCCTCTGCGGCGCCGGTTCGATCCCCGGCTGCTCCCCGGCCACCGGAGGAGGGTCCCACATGGCGCGCAGACCTCTCCTGCCGCCCGCTGCTCCCCTCAGCAGTGTACTTCGGTCCTTCTGCCTGCTCTGCTCCCCGCTCTGGCTCTGGTGAATTCTCTCACCCTCCCGCTCTTCTGACTGTACCCAGTGCATGTATAAACAAAACAAACAAACAAATAAATAATAAAAAAAAAAAAAAAAAAAACATGCCTCTATTAAAAAAAAAAAAAAAAAAAAAAAAGAATATCCAAAAATTGATAAAAGACATTGATCCACATATTCAGGAAACTCAGTAAACCTGAAGCAGAATAAATACAAAGAAAACCACAATCTAGGCATTTCATAATTAAACCATTAAAAACAAAAGATAAAAAAATCTATCAAAAGTAGCTGAAGAAAATAACACATTGTGTTTAGAACATCAGTAACAATTATAATAACTTCTCACCAGAATCAAGAACCCAGAAGACAATGGATTGGCAATTTATAGAGGAATTTAAAACAACAACTACCAGCCTTGAGTGCTTTGCCCTTTTTTATTAAGATAAAGATTGAACAAAATATATATTCAGAAAAAAATCTAATGGAATTTATTGCCAACAGATCTACAGTGCAAGAAATGCTGAGGAAAGGGAGGAAATGCCAAAGGAAGTTCTCAAAACTGAAGGGAAATGATCCATTGTGGGTGCATGGATATCAGGAAATAATAAAGGGCTCCAGAAGAGTAAAATGTAAGAGAAGACTATTGACATTTAAAGCAACCACAATAATATAAAATGTAAACTTGTAAATAAGCAACATGCATGATGATATAAAAGATAGAGGGAAAATCATACTTTTGTGAGATATTTATGTTGTCCGAAGTTGTAAAATACTAATTCAAGGCAAACAGTTTTAAGTTGTAGGTCTCTGATAATTATTAAAATACAGTACATGTGATTTTTAAAAAGACAATAGAGGAAAAAATGCAATAATAAAATATTTCTTCATGCCACTTTGAATTCATGGTGATTACCATGCACTGAATATCTAATTTTAATTTTATGGTGTTTTGCCAACAATTGTTGCTATATAATACAACTGCACTATGTTTTTCATGTAATGTTTTCCTAGTATTGTTTTGGGAAAAAAAAAAACAAAACAAAACATGAGCAGCTGATGAAGCTCATGCTCTATTATATCCTAATATGGTGAGGTATGAAGCTGCAGATAAGGCTCATCAAACTGTAGGATGGGCCTGAAGATCACAATTACATAATGCTTTAAGACTGGAAGGTCATAGTCCCTACTCCACCCTGGAATGAAGAAAGAACCATTTGAATCCTCAACTGAAAAAGAGAATTCGTCCAAATGTATTTGCCCTAAAAATGCTGCCTGACGGCTTTGCCAAAAAAAATTTGATCATTACAGCCAAAGTGGTCTTTGGGTGGATTGCAAGAGGTGAAATTAGTGTGTTACTTACATGCTCATGGCCTGTATTTTATCTGATCCTCAAGCCGAGCTTTGAGGTGACTCTTCTTTAAGAACCCATCGGTATACCTTTGTTTGTATAAGAAACCGTTTCATAACTAAATTATCATTAACCATAAAAGTATCTGCTCCCCATCTTCTAAAATTCACTTATGTCCAAATTTCTCACCTCTTCAAACATTTTCAGTGTTTGAATATATCTGTATGTTTACTTACTTTCTAAGATAATTTATGCTACCTCACACAGCCATTGAGATATCTCTGTTGGCATGGAAAAGATGTGTACAGCATGCATTTGTAGGAAAAGTAAAACAGTTTTTAGAATAATATTGACATGATGCAGATGGAAAACCCTCAGTTGATGCTTTATATAATTATACTTTATTTAAATTTTATACTTACACTACATTATAATTTAGAAAACCTTGGTCCTTGTCTCTGGCAAGACTATAATTTTTTGCAAGTTAACCATTTTGATTTTTGTAAATAAATAAACCTAAAAAATTCCAGAACTAGGGGAAGTCTATTTTTTTCTGACTATGGAACATGGAGGGCAGTAAACTATGTGAGTAGTAGTGATTGTTTATAGTTTACCAAGATGTAAATGTTTTATATGATTGGGTTTTGTGAATTTATTAGTGGTTTTCAGTATGAAGCTTGTTGCAAAAGGGAAAAAAGCCTTAAATGCCTAAAACGAATCAAGAAAATGATAATTACCTTGATACTTGTGTTGATTAATATATATATTAACCACTGGAATGTGTATTTTTTCAGAATAAAAAAAATCCAGTGAAAAACTTATATCAACCAATTTATTTTTTTAAATTAAAATCTAATCAATTTAGGAAAATAGAAAAAAGTCACTTTTTAATATTTTCCTAAATTGATTAGATTTTAATTAAAAAAAATAAATGTGCTAACTTAATGTTCAAAATTAAAACAACTTACAGTATTCTACCACAACAGGCTCAGTGATATAATGACAGAGATGGTTACTAAAAGGTGGTTTAGAAATCAAAATTTCTTAGAAGTATGAACAATGTAAGCACACAATCTTATTACTTATTCTCTTTTGTGATCTCATGGCTTTTAGTGTGCTTTACATATGCTTTAGGGCATGACTAAATTTGATAGCAATCCCCTCCCTATATGTATCAAAATGTATTTGTCCTAAGCAAGTCATAATTCCTACATGAACATTATTATGCTATTGCTCTGGTTACCTCTTTCTATCTGGGAGTTCTTGTTTGGGTTAAACAGCGGAGAGTCTCATCTTTTGGTTCACCTCCACCTGAACCTAAGGAGAAGAAGGCGACCTTGCAGACATACTTTGAAAGGGTTTGCATACCCACTCTCAATAAGAAAAAGCAAAAGAAAAAAAGTCATGTAAAAACAAGAAGATTATATTGCATAAAATAACCTAGTTGGGGCCTCCCGTTGTGGCACAGGTGATTGAGCGCAGCACTGTGAAGCTGTCCACAGCCTCTGCAGCACTGGTTCGATCCCAGCTGGCCGGCGAGGGTCCCACATGGTGTGCAGTCCTCTCCTGTCTCGCCTGCTGCTCCCCTCAGCAGTGTATTTCGTCAATCTGCCTGTTCTGTTCCCAGCTCTGTCTCTGGTGAATCCTTTCACCCTCCCGCGAATCTGGCCTGTGCCCCGGTTCTTGTATAAATACATACATACATACATACATAAATAAATAAATAAACAAACAAACAAACAAACAAACAAATAAATAAATAAATAAATAAATCCTTTAAAAAAAAAAACTACTTGTTTTTCATAATAGGGAACTGTATGTAGTGTTCCAGTTTAATCAAATATTTTGTTCCTAGGAAATGTAATACTTGTCAATTACTTCATTTTCCAGTGCTTGAAAACCATTTCGCTGAAGGTTTTCTCTGAATTTGATTACTTAAGGCAATGAAATCATATCTTATTTGTCCTTATGTGATAGCGTTATTTCACTTGGCATATTGTCCTCAAGGCTCATCCATATTGTAGCATGTGTCAGAATTCCCTTCCTATTCAAGCCTGAGTAATATTGCTTCGTGTGTGTAACCAAATATTTTTACCTATCCATCCCTTGATGGACATTTGGGCTGTTTCTACCTTGTAACTACTGTTGTATGATGCTGCTATGCTGAACAAATACTTCTTTGAGTCCCTGCTTTCAATTCTTTTGGATTTTTTTTCTGTTTCAATTTTTTTTTTCATTTGTTTTGGATGCTGTTGGTATATAGATATCTCTTCAAAGCACTACTTTCAATTCTTTTGAGTGGAATTTCCTAGAATAGGAATTTCTGAATCATATAGTAACTCTAAGTTTAATTTTTCTTTTTTTTAATTTATTTTTTAATTAATGAAGTACCATTGTTTTAAATCTTTGTTAATATTTTGACAAAGTAGAATTTCTCCCCTTATGTGTGGCCATTATAGCTCTCCCACCACCAAAGCACCCATAGTCTTCCGCCATAGTCTGCTATGCTCTCCACTACTTTGCATCCCTCCTCTTCTTCTCCCCTTTTGGATGCCTCACATCTATAGTAAATTTTCCAAATTTAATTTTTTGAAGAACTGCCTTATTGTTTTCCAAAAAGGGTGTATTCCACAAAGGGTACATTTTATATTCCCACCAAAAACCAACATGGTTCCATTTTCTCCACATTCTAGCCAATATTTGTTTCCTGTTTTTTTTTTTTTTTTTTTATATAGTAACCATCCTTGTGGGTATCAGCAGCCAGCTCTTTACAATCTCCTGTCATATGAGATATCATATGAGACACTTCACAGAGGCAAATCCTGATGATTCTAACCTAGCTAGAGTCATTATGAATTACAGAGAATAAAAAAGGGCCACCACTGAATGGAGATTATTTCTTCAGCCCAACCCCTCCTACCACACTAACTCCATTTCTCAATTCACTTTTGTTATTTATGACATAAAACACAGTTGTTTTTTTTTTTTTATTATTAACAGATACTGTTCTTTCTTTAGAAAATCCATTCCTCGCTGCCGAAGAATTAACAGGATGCTCTCCAATGAATCCCTACATCCCCCTGCATTCAGTCGATCCAACTCACAAGCCTCTGTAGACAGCGCCTCAATGGAGGATTTCTGGCGGGAAATAGAGAGTATTAAAGAGAACAGCATGGGAGGCCAGGAAGAGCAGATGTCAGCGGAGGTCAAGCCTGTGGATGGTAAGATGCTCGACTGGTTTTCCCATGTGCTCACTTTCTTTGCATATTCTCTTTGGTTGGCAGGTAGAATCCATCCCATTATTTATTTAATACATGAAATGGTAGAATTTAGCGTGTCTACTACTTGCTTCCACTGATTTCTATCTGCTGCACTGGCTCAGGGTAGCTTCCATCCAAAGTGAAGTGAAGCATTTACTAGTGTTGATGTATTTAGAAAACGATTGTTTTGTATTCCACAAAACAAAAGCTATGTCAAATATATTAGTTTTCAGTGACACTAAAAAGAAGAAAGTTGAGGACAAAAATGAGTGAATGAAGGGATATAATTGTCCTTATTTTTTTTTAAAGGAGCAAAATTATTGGCTGAGGTAAAAAGCAGAAGTTATACCCTCTACCTGTCAACAACTAAATACATAAGATAGCCAAGAAAAACTAAAGATGTTTAATAAGTATACACCAAATAATGAATTAGTCAGTGATTGACCTCAAGATAACAATCAAGTTTAAACCTTAAAAACTTTTTAATTCTTCTTTCCCTATTCTGTAAGTTTATTTTTTTGTAGGACTATAATTTAGATGTACTGCAGTTAGTATCCTTCATAGGCCATTAGAAATAAAAAGTCCCTCCACACATTTAATGAGAATCCATTCAAGGGAATTATTCCCCATCAATGAAGTATATTCTTACTCCTTTTACTTACTTCTCTACTTTTGTCATTTCAGATCCAGAATGACAGAAAGACTCATAAAAAGTAAAATACCTCTTATCCCCACCCCTTTTCTCTTACTAGACAGTTATCCGTAAGTTGAACCATAAGTTCAAGTTGATAACCTCCAATTCCATTCCAACATGACATGGTTTGTTGTTATCATCCCTTTTCCTATATTCATGACATGTTCTCCAATAATGAGAAATCTGACTCCCACTATCTTTAATATATTTGCTCATTATTTCAAGCCTAGGGTATAAGATGTTTTTAGTTTTTCTAACCTTATGTGCTACATAGAGCATACCTACCATCCAGGGAATCTTTTAATTTATTTAAACTTCTTTTTTTGCATTTGGTTTCTTTCAGTCTTTTTAATACTTTTCATTTCTTTGTTGAAATTCTCTGTTCACTCTTCATAAGCATATTTTCCTTTAAGTACTTGAGTATAGATTTAATAACTGCTTTAACGACCTTGTCCAATACCAGTCTTCTCAGGGTCACTTTCTAATGACTACTTTTTCTCTGGATAAATTAGTCCATTTTTAAATTATATCCTGGATATTGTAGTATTAATGACAATGCAATATTGTGACATTATTGGTATGTTTCCTACGCTCTGTATTCCATTATTTTCTTCTAAAGGAGTTAATTTTAGTTCTAGTAGTTACTTGACTGGACTCATATTCTTGACTTTTTTTCCTTTGCTCTATGCAGAATATATTACCTGGCTTATTTATTTTAGCCTTTTAGTAGATTCTAAGAGGATGTTTGGAGTGTCCCTTATACCTTTTTTAGTCCAAAGTTAGTCAAGGTTTTGGTCGGTTTATGTAGATTTGCTCCTACCTCCTTCTCTTCAATTCTGGTAATCTGAGTTTGACTCCTTCTCTTCAATTCTGGTAATCTGAGTTTTGGAGGCAGATATCAAGGGTTTACTTTGATTTTGTTTTTTTGTTGTTGTTCCTTTGCTTTTTCCCCCAATCTGATATTTACCTTTCTTTTTCTGACTTACTTTGCTTGGCATAATCATCTCCAATTCCATTTGTGATGAATGGCAAGATGTCATCTTTTTTTATAGCTGAGTAGTATTTCACCATGTATATATACCACATCTTTATCCACTCATGTGTCTTAGGGCACTTAGATTGTTTCTGTACTTAGCTATTATAAATAGTGCTGCAGTAAACATTGTAGTACATGTATTCCTTCCAATGAATATTTTTGTGTTCTTTGGGTAGATAGATACCTAAGAGTAGGATTGTTGAATCATATGGGCAATCAATTTTTAACATATTGCAAAACCTCTATAGAGGTGGGACTAATTTACATTCCCACCAACAGTGTAGGAGGTTTCCTTTTTCTTTACCACCTTTACCAACGTTTGTTGTTTCTGGTCGTTTTGATCAGACTATTCTCACAGGTGCAATGGCAATTCTGATTGTGCTTTTGATTTGCATTTCATGATAATAATCGATGATAAGCATCTTTTCATGTGCCCTTTTTGCCACTGCCTTCTTTAGAGAAATGTCTATTTAGTAGTTCTGCCCATTTTTTGATTGGGTTATTTGTTTTCCTCTTCTTGAGTTCTCTGTTGATCTTGGATATTAACCCTTTGCTGGGTATTTGATGCGCAAAGCCACATGGTAGGGTATCTTTTTGTTTTAGTGATAGTTTCTTTTACTGTAAAGAAGTTTTAAAATTTTTTGTAATCCTATTTGTTAATTTTTGCTTTTATTTCCCTTGCTGGTATACAAGTCCCCAAGGACATCACTGAAGCAATGTCATGGAGAGCTTAGTCTGTGTTTCACATCTTCCATCCAAGTGTTTGGCCTACTTTGAATTAATTTTTTTGTACAATGTGAGGTAGTGGTCTAGTTGCATTTTTTTGCATATAGCTGTCCAGTTTTCCCAGTGCATTTGTTGGGCAGAATAATATTTTATTAAGGGCCTGCCCCGTGGCGCAGTGGTTGAGCACTGGGTTGTGAAGCTCCCTGCAGCCTTTGCAGTGCCAGTTCTATCCCTGGCCGCCTGGCGAGGGTCCCACATGGCACGCAGACCTCTCCTGCCACCTGCTGCTCCTCTCAGCAGTGTACTTTGGTCCTTCTGCCTGTTCTGCTCCCCGCTCTGGCTCTGGTGAATTCTCTCACCCTCCCGTGCTTCTGACTGTCTCCGGTGCTTGTATAAATAAATAAATGAATAAATCTTTAAAAAATATTTTATTAATAATTTTTAATTAAAAAGTTTTTGCTGTATTTTTTAAGTATTTTATTTATTAATTCTTCATTCATTCATTCATTTTCTCCTTATTGAGGTAATATTTGATAACAACACCTAGACACTTTAGTGAAAGTTGAAATTTTATATTCATTTTCTGACTTGATTGAAAATTTCATTAATTATGTACTCCAACCGAAAGTTTTAATGAGTTAAACAAATATATGTACCTACTCTGTGCAAGTACTGTGCAACATGTTAGAGTTACAAGCAAAAGCAGAAATGCTTCCTTCTCACATGGAGTTCATAATCTAGTGGAGGAAAACAGTAATTAAGTATATATTTTTGGAAAATGATTTGAAGGCAAAAGAAACACTGTTGTATGGGGATAGAGAGCAATAAGGCCTGAATTGTCTGAGGTGTTTAGAGCAAAAAATACCTCTTTGAGGGAAGAATGTATAAAATGAAATCTGAAGGATTAAATGTCATTATTTAGGGGGGTCAAGTAGGAGAATTGGCATGTCCAAAGACCTTGTTACAAAATAAACCATGGAATTTTTGAGAAACCAGAAGTTGGCCAGTAATGCTAAAGAAGAGTGGGTGAAGAGAACATGGTATAAACTGTTGGCCAAAAGATTAACTGCTTCATATCTTGTAGGCCATGTTAAGGGTTTTAATCTTGATCCTAAGAGTGAGGAAATCTTGTTTTGTTATTTTAGAAAGTGTAATGGATTTATATTTGCATTGTGAACAGACTGATTTAGTTGTAATATGGAGAACAGAGTGGAGGGGGAATGAAGAATGGGAAGAACAGTTAGGAAGCCACTGTAGAAGTTCAAGTGGGAGGTCGCTTGGGTCAAGGGTCTAATCAAGGGGAAAAAAAAAAAGGAATAAAACTTTGAGAAACAATAAGGAGGTAATCCCAAAGGTCTTGGTGATATATTAACTTTGATATATGAAATATAGGGAGATATCTCCTGGGTTACTTGTTTTTATTAGGTGGATGGGGGTTTCATTAATTGAAATATAAAATACTGAGAGAGGTCTAGAATTGGGAATAAAGAATATGTGTTCAGGTTTCAAAATACTGTGTTTGATATATAATTGCTGGAGCCAAGTTGATATTGAGTAGGCCGTTGTATACATGGACCTGAAATTCAAAGGGGTGTTCCATGTTGAAGTTATGTATCTGACGCCTGGAGTAATGAATATAGGATTGCATTGTCTATGATTAAAAAATCAGAATAAGTAATTTCTACATAGATATTTATTTCCTGTGGGAAATAAATGCCCTATATAGTCTGCAACCTGATTCCAAGGATTTGAATCTTCCTTACCTCTAATTTGTTTACTCTGACCTTACTGATTGCTCATCCTTCCTACTCTTTCATTACTACTTACTGGGGTAGAGGGAAAAATCCAGTTATTAAACTTTAATATTAAACTATTTTAAATTTTGTCCTCAAAAACTAGTATTTTAGCTGAGTTTTAAGAAAAGTCATGACTCACTAATCTAAAAGGCTTATTATTTAACTAAAGCTAAGTTTAAGTTCACTGATGCATTTTCTGTTAAAGAATCAGCATATAAAGCAAATGAACAATAAAAACAAGATAGCAAATAAAAGATTTTCTGGGCTAAGAAATTGTACCTGACCAGCACGTTAGAAGGCGGTGTTTATGTATGAATGATGAAGTGATATAAGTCCAGGATTCCTTCCTGGACTGATACTTTGACAGACTGTTTACAAGTCACTCTAATCAGCTCTTTAAACAAACCTCATTGAGGTAATGCCTTTAGCATAGTTCCCAGAAATGTATGTAGAGGGGAATTTTCTTTTACAGGATGTTACAATTCTGAATTCTTTATTATTTCTGTACATTTGATTTACAATAGTAATTGATTCTCGTATGACAAATTTTAAGTTTTTAAATTGCCTTCTGAAAAAGGGAAAAGGTTCAGAATAAAGAGAAAAGTAAGAGGATGACTAACTGTTGAACACATACTTTGTTCCAGATTATTTACTATGTTTGTAAAAATATTGATAAAACAGTTCATAGCTACCTAATACTTTCATTTATGTCACCTCTATTTTGATATGACACTGAGATCAAGAAATATCTTAAAACTTTCCAAAATCTTCTGCTAGTCAATGTATGCCATTAAACTCTCTTTTTCTGGTATAGTTTAAGTTTAAATATTCATATTTTATTATTTCTTGAACTGGTAGTCCATAGATAGATTATATTTAACCCTCTGAAAGAAAAAAAAATACCTTACCATATTTGCCAATTAACTTTATTCTACTAAAAAATACTTTAAAATTTGACATATTTTAAAAATGTAATATAACTTTTTTATTCAGTCTAATAGGACTTTCCCATAATTACTGTGGAGGAAAGAATGTCTTAAGAAATAGTTTACTAAAAAAATAAATAAATAAATAAATAAATAGTTTATTGACATCTCTTATTCAGTGTTTGCACGGACCTACTTATATGCAATTCACCCAATCATACAGAAAATGTTCTAACCCCTTGATAATGTTATTTACAGAAGGAGAACTTGAAGCAGAATGGTTGCAAGATGTGGGTTTATCTACACTGATCTCTGGTGATGAAGAGGAGGATGGCAAAGCCTTGCTCTCTACATTGACTCGAATCCAAGCAGCTGCAGTGAAAAAGAGATATAACACTTATACTCAAACTATGAGGAAAAAGAACAAGCAATCTGTCAGGGATGTCAGAGATATCTTTGGAGTCAGCGAATCTCCTGTAAGTAATGAATATAGCTCAAAAAGTTTGTTTTGATGAGGGGGAGGGAGGAAGTGTGTGTGTGTGTGTGTGTGTGTGTGTGTGTGTGTGTAAAAAGTACCAGAAACAGTTGATTACCTTCTCAGTTTTAGAGACTACTGAAGCATAGTATAGCACAAAATTTTACAAATTTGTAAGTTAAGTGATAATTCCTTATCTACTTCAACACTAGCAGTCTCCCTCAACACTAAATGTAGTCCCTTGGTTGTTGAAGTTGAAATGGAGCTTTGTCAATGGAGCAAGTCTTTGTGGATGGGATACACAGAGCCTTTCCTTAAATCTTAGTAGAGGTTTAATGGAAACTCAAGGGACAAGTAAAGGAATTTTGGGTAAGTGGGCTCAAGTATTAAAGCAGGCTAAGGCAGTTTGTTTTAAATGGGGGTGTGATAGGAGAATGAGTAGTGTGGCCTTTATGTTCAAATAAATCACAGTGTTCAAAAGTGGAAGAGAGCAGCATTACTTAAATGGAAGAGAAAATGATTCAAAAACTATAAAGGAAGCACTACATGTTTTTGAGAAATGGCCTGTGCCAATTCCAGCTTAGCCTTAGCAGTTCTATGTCCACAACTTTACTTCGAGACTCAGAATCGTGTTTTCCTAGTTCTATGTATGTTTTACTGTTAGCTCTCTTATTCATTGCATCAATGCAATGTTGGATTGAAATAATTGAAAAATTTTCTGCAACAAATGTTTGTTATATATTTCTCTGAAAGGGTCTTATATTAGGTTCTGTGCGATAGTATTCTTAGAACTTTGCGGGTGAGTAGTATACCGGAAAAAAAAAAAGACACTTGATATTCTGCTGTTGTTAAAAATAAAGTTGCCTGGGGTAAGTTAGTTACTCATTCTGATTTTAGGCTTTTCACCTGTTTAATTATAATATCAATAATGATATAAATTAGCACCTCAAAGATCTTGGGTAGAAAACATAGTTGAAGAGAATCACAAATTTGAGTTAGTTTAGATTGTGTGTCATATCTTCTCTTAGGTATATTAATCACACTAAGTAGTTGCCAGGGTAGCTCACATATATTTAGTTAACCTTTGCATTTGTCCTAATGATGTCCCAAAATAGCACAACCCTGTAGAACTTTCTACATTAATGGAAATGATCATTTTCTGTGCTGTCTAATCTGGTATCCTCCAGCCATTTGTGACACTAGCACTTGATATGTAGCTTAGTGTGAGTATGGAACTGAATTTTAATTTAATTTTAATTGATTTAAATCTAAATTGTCACATGTGGCTTATCGGTAATATATTGAACAGCTCAGTTGTTCAATAAAAAATACTATAATTGTAGGATTTTCTGTATGTAATGACACATCTGAGGTAAGCACAGTTTGAGTTCTTTGCTGTTTGAACTTTCATTCTTGTTGAAACCTGTGTCTTTCTGGATTTTGATGTTTTCTACAGCTATAATTGAGTCACGGTGTCTCTCACAACTTGAGGCAGGGGTCCCATCAGTAGGTGTCCTGGCCAAGATGCCAATCAAAGAAAAGGTTTTTCTTGCAGGTTTCAACCCCCTGGGTCATTGTTTGGTTATCTCCTAAGAACCTGACCTGCATACTTCCTTTCTCACTTCTTCCAATTACTTCAGACTAAAGATTTTATTCTTCCTTTCCATACTATAAAATAGCTTCTCCTGAATCCTCTGGTTACTCAAGAAAATGCATGACTGTTCTCTGTAGACTTCCTAAAATTCTGGGCCTGTAGTGAAATAGAAACAGGGAAACAAAGTCCTTTTCATGTTCCTACTTCTTTCACATAGACCCTGAAGGGAAACATTAACAAGGCACTTTACACTTTGGGGATTTCAGCATAAAAAGAAAGGAAGACTCTTACTTTGCTGTAATACATAGTTGCAATAAACTGATTCTTATTTAACTTCAGAAAAAGTAGAGAGAGAGCCAAGGAGAGATTTCCCATCTGTGGTGAGAGTGAAGAGTGATAGGCATGGGGGGACTCTTCCTCTTGCCCGCCTTTCTCGCCCCTTCCAGCCTTACTGTTGAAACTGTAGTTCTAGAGTGAATTGAGAATGAGGCCTGAGGCAAGGAAAGTGGTCATAGGTGGAAGAAAGACCATATATTCTAGGGAGTAGAGATTTTGTACTATTCTGAGAAATGGGGCCTCTGAAAGTCAGCCTGGTATTGTATATGCTGCTTAAAAATTTGAATTGTTCTTTAAAATGTTAAAAAGCTGGCCTCCCAGGTGGCGCAGCAGTTGAGCGCTGGATTAGCAAAGTTGCCCGCATCCTCTGCAGCGCTGGTTCGATCCCTGGCCACTGGCTGAGGGTACCACATGGCGTGCAGACCTCTCCTGCCACCCGCTGCTCCCCTCAGCAGTGTACTTCAGTCAGTCTACCTGTTCTGTTACCCACTCTGTCTCTGGTGAATCCTTTCACCCCCCCACCTCTGGCCTGTACCCCAGCTCTTGTATGCATAAATAAGTAAATCTTAAAAAAAAAAGTTAAAAAGCCATATAAAGCTAGCCTTTAAAAAATATATATATATATTTATATAAGGCCAAATAGCCATCTTCACTGATTCCACCCCCCCACCGCCCCTAAAAATTGCAGCTTCTGCTTCTGAGGTAGAGAGACTTGGGAGTTTCTTAGGAATATACCTAAACTGTTCAGTTTCCTATTTGAATTTGTCATCCTAAACACCAATTCTTCCTTCCTGCTCTCTCTTTAAGAGTCTCTTTGTGGTTGCTCTTTGCTTTCCTTTCCATCTCCTTCCTCCTCTGTCCCTCCTCTTGCTTCTCCTCCTCTTCCTCCTTATTTTTCCTTTATCTCTCCCCTTACCCATATCCCCTCCTGTCTTTATTTTTCTCTTTGGCATCATTTACCTACATTAATAGGATAATTACCTAGAATTTTCCATTGCACTGTCTTAATAAAGATTTGACATTGAGTTTCAAAAGGTGATTTTGCATTAATCTTAATCCAACTCAAGTACCTAGTGAAGATATAAATCCAATAATTCAAAAGGTGTATATATATATATATATATATATATATAATACTAGTTATTTCCTTAATTTTTTGCACTTAGAATCCCATGACTAATATCATTTTCCTTCAAAAATTTGAAAGTTCATTATCTTTTCTCATGTACCATTGCTGAGGGGGAAGTACAATGTCTATATCAATCTCATTCCTTTATCTACACTGTGGAAAATTTTTGAATTTTTTTTAATCATTTTTATTTATTTATACAAGCACTGGATATAGTCAGAAGCGCGGGAGGATGAGAGAATTCACCAGAGCCAGAGCGGGGAGCAGAACAGGCAGAAGGACCGAAGTACACTGCTGAGGGGAGCAGCGGGCGGCAGGAGAGGTCTGCACGCCATGTGGGACCCTCCTCCGGTGGCCAGGAGCAGCCGGGGATCGAACCGGCACTGAAGAGGTTGCGGGCAGCTTCGCAACCCAGCGCTCAACCGCTATGCCACCGGGGAGGCCCTGAATTTTATTTTTATCATTGGAATCTTTAAATTTTATTGGTTCTTCCTGGCTAGAATATTTATCTTGGTTGCTGCTAAGTAAGCTCTCTCATTCTGAGATCCCATTATTCTTCAAGTCCAAATTTCTTCTAACATTTAAAACAAGTGTATATTCCCTCTGTCTTATCACTTATCTCCTTCTTGGACTCCTCAAAATGACTATTGCATTATTTGCATTGAATCTCTGTTCTTTCATATTTTTCAAGTTTTGTCTGTGGCATGTTTGCTCTGCCTTCTTGGATATCTCTCACTTTCAATTTTTATATCTATAATTTGTCCATAAGTTTATTAATTCTTCTACCTGTCATTAATTTTTAAAACCTGAGTCAGGGCCTCCCCTGGTGGTGCAGGCAGTTGAGCGCAGTGCTGTGAAGCTGTCCACAGCCTCTGTAGTGCCGGTTCGATCCTGGCCAGCCAGCGAGGGTCCCACATGGCTCAACAGACCTCTCCTGTCACTCCCATGCTCCCCTCAGCAGTGTATTTTTTTTTAAAGATTTATTTATTTATGCAAGCACTGGGTACAGGCAGAAGTGCAGGAGGGTGAGGGAATTCACCAGAGCCAGAGTGGAGAGCAGAACAGGCAGAACGATGAAGTACACTGCTGAGGGGAGCAGCGGGCGGTAGGAGAGGTCTGCGTGCCATGTGGGACCCTCGCCCAGCGGCCAGGGATCGAACTGGCACTGCAGAGGCTGTGGGCAGCTTCGCAACCCAGTGCTCAGCCGCTGCACCACCGGGGAGGCCCTCAACAGTATATTTTGTCAGTCTGCCTGTTCTGTTCCTAGCGCTGTCTCTGGTGAATCCTCTCACCCTCCTGCGAATCTGGCCTGTACCCCGGTTCTTGTATAAATAAATAAATAAATCTTTAAAAAATAAAAATAAAAAAATCAAACCTGAGTCATATTGTTAATTTACTGAAGTATCTCCTATCTGATTTCCCCTATATTTTAACAATCTAGTCTTGTTTCCTGGTTGCAATAGCCTCTCAGTCCTCTGAAGGTACTAACTAATTAAACCTTAAATTACAAGGTTTTCTTCTTTTCTTTGAATTATTTGTCATGTTTACTTTTAGCTTTTTGTTTTTCACTTTCATTGCATTTTTTAACTGATCTTGATCCTGTGAGTTTATTTATATTGTTAGTGGAGAACTATATTGATTGGTTGATTAGTATAGGTAATGATGTTATATTTCCAATGCAGTTATGTAAACCTCCTTGCTCCCCAATTTTGTTTGTGTGTGTGTGTGTGTGTGTGTGTGTGTGTGTGTGTGTGTGTGTGTGTGTGAACAGGAACCTGAACCTGTGTGAGTGGTAAAGCTTGTCACACTTCACTTTAAGATACAGAAATATGGTATCAGTGAAAATAAACAAGTCCTGAGTAATCATAATTCACTTCCCTTTAGGCAGACCTAACTTTACCTTTTTATACTCCTGTTCCTATCTTTTTAGAAGACCCCTATG